TAGTGTTCGCCTTGCCAGGCTGCGGCCAAAGACACTGGAGCACCTGAAGGTTCCCATTATGGAGTAAAAGTTGGACAATGTTCCAAGCTTGGTAGATTGATCTATATGTTGCTGATCTATATGTTGTTGATCTATATGTTGTTGATCTATATGTTGTTAGCTGATCTGCCTGCTGGGCTTCTTTTGTCCTTAGGATCGTTTTTTATTATTCTAAGGTGATATTTACCTTTTAGGTTTGATTAATAAAGAAAAAGGTTGAAATAAAATGTATTTCGGGGCTGAATAGAAATAAATGGCTCATTTTTTAGACTTTCGTTTGATTAAAAAAAGAAAAAGTAAAATAAGTTAATTTCCCCAAACCTCCTGATTACACCGTACTCTTTGTCAAACCTTTCAAAAACAAAATTCCCATAGAGGACATTAAAGTGAGTGATTATAAGGTTAGATAATGCGCAGATGTTCAGAGGGTCATATTTTTGCCAGGCACTGGGTGCAGAGCATGGATGGTTGCTGAACTTAACCTAAACTATAAAATAATCTCTGATAGATTTTGTCCTGCTAACGTGGCTGACATGAGCAGAGAGACAGAAAGAGAAATAACTGAAAGTGGACAGATAGCTGTTCTTCAGGACTCCTAACAGGTCAGATTAATAGCTATATAAGTATAAACAAACCCAATATACACAATATTTAAACAGCTTGGCCCAAATGTAACGACCTAATACTGATATCAATAAATAGAAGATTCATTTTTAATGTCAAGTCATTCCTTAAACTATAGAATAAGTTTCCATGTCGCTGTAGCTCGTGTAAAGAGGGGGATTTCACGCCGTTTCTTCTGCCGCGGTCAGAAATAACTCCTATTTGGTTCTCTGTTTTCATAGAAAAATCATACCCGTTTCGCCTCCGCTTGATGATGGCACTCCAAAAAAAAAAAGAAGGAATGAAACAAATAAAAGGGAAAATTCAGCATAAAAGGAAAGTTTTAAAGGAAAAGTTCAGTCAGCAGGAATAATCAATGGATCATTATTTATACCTAAAACTAAAACGTTGATTTAATGAATTTAGCGTTAATAGGTAAAAAAATAAAAACAATCATTTTCGTTGCGATCACCAAGTCTGGGAGCGGTCATTTTTGCCCAAATATAGTAGCCCCTCCCTCCTGCCATCTTCCAGCAGTGACGTCACGGTGCGGTAAGCCTAGCGCCATTCTCCCCGCTTTCCAAGCTAAATCAATGGGAACTACTAGACACATCTGCAATCAACAACAGTTATTGAAGATTTCCAGAGGACTTCACCATTGAAATTCACCAGAGCTATAGTGAAACTGACAATGCCCACGTGCATGGCAGCTGGATGCTGGAATACATCGGGTAAAAGTGAAAAAAAAGAGTTATTCCACCTTTCTGATTCCTGATCCTCCACGGACGGGTTGGTCGTTGGATCGCCAACTTGAAGAGGGAGGATTTGCCATCGAACTTCTGGCCAGAGAAAAAACCCGTAATATGTAGCCAACAGAGATGGCAAAAGTACTCACTTTCCATACTTGAGTAAAAGTACAGATACTTGTGTTAAAAAATACTCTAGTAAAAGTGGAAGTACTGATTAAACTTCTTTACTCAAGTAAAAGTAACAAAGTACAGGCTTGTAAATTTACTTAAAGTATAAAAGTAAAAGTAGAAACCACTTTTTTCATGCCGTTGCCTACATTTTAAATGGATGTCTGCCAATAGGACTAGATCTCCGTTGAGTTCATTTTCAATCATCTCGTCGTCCATGCTACTATGCTAACGCCACCGCCACCAAGCTGCAATGATTTGCCGCCAATGAATACCGCCGAATCTGTCGATTCATCTTGTAGTGGTGCGTCAAATGCAACGTAGATTCCCATCCAATTAGATTGAATTTGGTATTGATGACGTGAAAAATAATAACGGTAACTCCATTGAAATGATTCAAAACTAAAGTAACGAGACAATTTTTTAAAATGTAAGGAGTAGAAAGTACAGATATTTGTGTAAAAATGTAAGGAGTAGAAGTAAAAAGTCACCATAAAAATAAGTAGTAAAGTAAAGTAAAAATATCGGAAAAATCTACTTGAGTACAGTAAGGAAGTATTTGTACTTCGTAACTTCCCATCTCTGGTAGCCAACATTTGGAAGAAGAATGTTTTCAAGATGACTTGGATAATAGCGCGTTGTGACAAACACCAGATACAGCACTGGGACTTGATCAACAGCCGATACCGCACCGTGACAATGTCACTAACCAGTAGGTGGCAGTAGTGTTCTTTGACAAACATGGATGCCTCCAGTAAAGCACATTCACATGAAAATTACTCTGAATTAAAAACAATGATCATTTATTGTAATAATTTGATATTTAAAGAACTTTCAGAATATGATGGACTTTTCTTTTAAAGTCCCCGTTTTATCTGTGCATGGAGCCCATCGGGGTCGTTTCACCTCACAGATCCAGCATGAGACGCTGACACGCTGCCCTTAGTGGCAATAAATAAAAACAAACTACAGCTTGGAGCGTGAAGTGAGCAGAGAGAACTCCCTTTCAGTGAGATGGCATGGCTTCACGTATAAATGGTTCCGCTATGAGGGGAGGGGGAAATAAAACAACAGAAAAGAAAAAATAAGACGTTTGGAAGTTCGATGAAGGTAAATAATCCGGTAAAAGTTGCCTTAAGTCTCATGCAAAATATCGGATGCCACAAGCATGCATTTACCTGGTACTGAGGTCTACCGCACGCTAGAACTGGAACAACATTCGTCTCCAACGCAAAATATCCAAATATATGATCTGTCCTTTTTACACTATTTACAGAGTGTAGCAGATAAAGTTAAAATAGATGATTTCTTTTCTGATTCATAACTCGCTATTAATAATAATAATATACTCTGAGATGTAAAGTCTAAGTCCTGTGAATAGGTTCGCTTCTCTAAACTCAAACTAAATCCTCTTCCTGGAAATCGAATAGATCACAAACGAACAAACCTTTCTGTGCAAGTTGATCAAATTAAAACAAAGAGGTTTGAAGGGGTTTCAGTGAAAAGAAAAAACCTGACTGCTTGAGTTTCTGTCTGATTTGGTGAAGTTCGGTCCACGGGGGGGGGGACGGGGGGGGGGGGGGGGGGGGGGGGGGGGGGGGGATGCACCGAAGGGGAAAATTCATGACTAATTCAAATCTGCCAGTGAAACTGAATAGATAATCACTAGTGGAATGCTGGAAGGCACTGTTAGATAGCATCTCTCTTCTCCGCAGCAGAACGGGCCGGCGACTGATTGTGCGTCTGTGTGGCGTGTGTGCATGCTTGTGGATCGGAGGGGGGGGGGCGGCGAGTAAAGGAGGATAGGTGTAGCACGGGACCTGAGGTTAACATGGCCTGGGAACCATTTTGTTTCGCTGTGCCAGGCATGAGAGTTCATCTTCCAAGACGATCTCACCGGGAGCCATCTCTACAGACACCAGCAGCCAACTCACCCGTTCTTTACTGAAACATAAATTACACAACATACCAAGCAGGTCTAAGGTCTGGTTTCCAAAGGTTTATAAGGCCTGTAAGAAGGCGAACAAAAAGGACAGAACAATATTCATCTCTTTCGTAGCACACCGTAGTGAGGAGTGAAGATATATAATCATATATCACATTGCACAATTTGCCAAACTGTATATGCACTGTCCGTTAGGTGATATAACTCAACACAAAAATGTACTTCTGAGGTCAAACATGATCACATGGCGTGGACAGATGGTTGACTTACATTCTGAAAGCAGAGTTATGTCTTCATGATGAGAGTCAATCCTTTTTTCACTCCTTATCTGAGCGCCTCACCAGAGGAGGATCTCTCTCCCAAAGCCGCCGCTGGGACTTTGTTGATTAAACAGATCCGCCTGATCGGCCCTTTCTAACTCACTTAAAGGTGCCTGAACGAACTGCCAGAACACGGATCAGATCTGGAAAGTGTGTGTGTGTGTGTGGGGGGGGGGGTAAGATCTGAACTGTTAAGAGATTAATCAATCTGTCAGGAAAGACGGCGCGTGCTACAGATTAAACACTCCTTTCTATTCCTTAAACATCCCAACAGAATACTAAACCAGTGGAATTCCTGCTTTGCATATTTCTAACCACTTTATTCTAATGAGAGCATAAAACTCAGGGTGGATAAAACTAACAGCGTAAACTCTAGAAAATCAACTCAAGGAAACTGATTTTTAATAGTTTAGACCGAGATGTGAAAGAGATTCTGTTTTGGACCGTGGCCGATGCGTCGACTTGCTGCTCATCTGTGGAGGTAGGCTGTGCTCTTTCCAAACACCCAGTAAGCTGCCAGCACAGTGCTACAGGGGTCTCTGGGGAGAGTGGTGGAGGCGGTGGAGGGGCTGTGACGCAAGGCAGGTGGAGCATAACCTGCCTATCTCCCGTTCCCAGCCGGCTCATCGAAGCGTCGGTGTGATCCGATGTGAATACCCTGTCACCAGCAGTTGGAGGGAGGATGTAAATATCCTATTGAATTTCCGACTATCGATTTGTTCCCTGACCTGTCATATCATGGCCGATGGCAGGCTTCCAAAAGAAAGAAGCTCTTCCTCTGAGAGCCGCTGACTCACAGAAGCTCAGCAGGTGGATAGAAAAAAACAGGACAAAGCGGAGCAGGAAGGGAAGACTTGAAACCAGGCTGTGAAACGAACGCCGTTATAGAGAGAAATGGATGGTTTCCAGATACAGCATCAGCGATCCGTCTGGGATGGTAGCAGGTTCTGTCATCAGTGCCGCCGAGTACCAAAGGTTGCTTTTATTTTCCGGGTGACGAGGGATTGAAAACGAAAACCAAATAACAATCTGAAGAACTCCAGGACATTCAGAGGGAGCGTGAATGTGCAGAATCCGTGGGAAAGAGTTCGAACAGCAGAGTCCGCTGGAGAAGCATGATGACTAAGAACGTTACTAACAAATATGAATTGTTGTAAAGGTGTATATATATATATATATTTTTTTTTTTTTTTTCAATTTTTAAATTCAAGTCTCAAAATCCTCTTGGTGTTTCCCATCAAATGATATAATAACATTGGTCCTTAACTTCAAAGTCTCTTGTGTATTTGTGTATTTTCTTCATCTTGGAAAATAATCATCCAGTGTTTAGTGCTTCTAAGAAAAATAGCTGGTCCTTCAGAAGAGTCTGAGTTCTTCTATTTCTTAAATGGAGCTAATCTACTAAAATTCTGCCAGAAAGGCCCCTGGCCTCTTTTGGATTGACTGAATTCAAAAACCTCTCCTTGTGCCATGTCCTCCGTCACCTCATAATGGCCCGCGCTCAGGGGGTCCTGCGGGGGCGGGTATGAGGGGGGCGTGCACCTGTTTACACCTGGGAAGGCAGGCGCCAAAGAAATAAGCCAGGGGGAGGGGGGGAGATATGGGTGAGGAGGGAGCGCAGAATACAAAGCGGAAGAGAGAAGAAGAGAAGCAGCAAAGAGGAAACATCATCAGTTTCTCGTAGAAAAGAGAATCAGAAACCAGAGATGCACCGAAAAAATCAGCTGGTGGCCAAAAACGTCTGAACTTTAGAAAAAACTAAATATTTTCACCATCATATTAAAAAACGAGATTATTTCCTCGAATATACTGATGCATGTTTCAAGAAAATACCTGCGAGTGGTTGGTTGATCCAGGCTGAGAGAGAGCAACACTTTCAGTAGATAACAGGAAGGCTAAACAAAGTCGCTGGATTCTTCTTATTTATAATATAAACATTCTAGTTTTAGAAACGTTAGCAGTTTCTTTTTAAATCTTCAAGTTTAAGATGCTAAACCTTTGTCTTAATAAAACCACAGCCTGTTATTACCGCTGTTTGATGCTGCGTTCAAACTGACGCTTGTTGAGCATCAGGTGCAGCCGGTTAACGTGTGTTGTCTATTTTAGACACCATCAGGTGGCGTTGTGAGGTCCTGCGGCGCGATTTGACCGCCTGCCACAGAATATCTTAAGTCTTTTGAACACTGGATGCGCTGCGTTCAGAGCTGAGGAAAATTAAGCTCTTCCAAAAGTTCAGATGCTTAGGTGGGTAAATCAAAACTTTGCATCTTGATGTAGGTCATCAACCAATCAGAGAAGCTGATCTGGTAGTTGGCAGGGAGGCAGGCTCTGCATCCAAGCCATGATCTCTCCTCCTGCAGAGCTGGCAGCATGAAACCATCAAAATATTCAATAATTTATATTTTTAAAGCTGTTAAATTCCACTAAGTATGTATTTTTATATGTGGAAAGAAAAGCAGGCTTTTAGCTAGTAATATTTCCTAGGCTTTACACCTTGGTGCATCACATCTTTAGGCTTTGCAAAGCGTAGGGGGGTCTGGTGGCATCCTCCCTGTGAAAGTGTTGAATTTTAGACTCTGAAACACTATTTCCTGCCTTTAGAGCTGGAATGCAACTAAGTTTTTGTCTTTGTTCCAACACTTTAGTCCTGATATGGAAAGAATGTGAGGTTGACCAAAGGTGGAAATTTCATAAGGAAGATATAAGATCATTTTCAGGTTCCATATTATGTTTCATAGGTTAATTCAAACAATCAGAAAGTCTGATGCTACGTTCAGTCTGAACGCCATCAAAGAAGCTTCTGCTGCTTAATCTCTGATCCTCAATAAGGTCAGCCGTCCAGTAAAGTGAGTCCAGATGCTTCTGCTGCTCCTGTGTTCAATGCCAGAGAGCAGCTTTGCTATATTAGCTGTGATCAGCGGGTAGAAAGTAGTTAGAATCTATGTTGAAGTGAGAAAGTCCTCCTGAAAACATGGTCTGTGCAGTCAGTTCATCCAGATTACCATCCTGCCTTCAAAGATTATTTCTCTGTGGGAGCCGCTCAGACCCCCACATACCGGCGCTGCGCTGTCACTGGGAATCCCCAGCAGCAGCTGCCTCAGGCCCGCTCGCCTCTCCAGGGTTTTCCCCTCCTGTTGGTGGCGGCTGGAAGTAGATGTTAGCGTTTTTCAGGTCTGTGCTACAAACTGCAGGCAGCAGGATAATAAAAGCCAACATATTCTGCCGGCAGGTTTCTACATTTGAAGTTAATTTAGGCGTTAATAAACTGTTTCAGAGGAGTGATCATAGCGCTCTGCATCAGCAGTGCTGCGTCTGACTCCCTGCCAGCTCCCAGATCAGCTTCTCTCATTGGTTGATGCGGCACATCCAGCAGCTAAAGATCAATGTTTCCACCTCCAGCAGCTGCTGCAAAATTTCCGGAGGAAAATTAGGGCATACTAAAGCCCAACATCCCCGAAACAGGGCGTAAAATTCGTCATTTTATTAGTAAAGGGGGAACAATGCATTTCTAGGTAAAAGCCTAAAGAAAAGGGAAGATGTTTGGTTTTTAAAGCTAGGATCATATCCTGATTAACTGACCTCATTCATGATGTTTTCAGGTTTACTTTCTCTCTTAAAAGCATCACAACCAATAAAGCAAAGCAAGTCTCTTCATTGCATCTGCCATTGAAAGCAGCAAAAACACATAGAAAACCATCGGGACACACTTTTCCCGTCGGGCATCAAAAATGCTCGACTCTTGTCTGATTTAAATGGGCGTAAGCCTCTGAGACGTGGCGCCGGACGCTTTGCTGATGGAGTAAACAGCATTATACGGCGGTGTGACGTCACCTCTGCTCCTAAAATAATCCCTTCAGGACCAGATGGATGATTTACAGAATTACTGGGTCAGATGATTTATGCTTCCATATCTTTTTTATTTAAAATTATTTAAGCATTCCCAAAAGCTACATTGTTTTGCAGCTGAAAAGTTGGTAAAATTTGAGTAGTTGTAGTTAAAAAAGGGTAACTGGTCATTTAAAGATAAAATCGGCAAGATTCTAATTTTATGATATGGCAAAGAAAGTAGGTAGTAAATTCTAAAAACCCACATCTTTACAAATGTCACAATAAAATAAAATCAGATGATGATCTATCGAACCTTTTGGCTTCGAACTAAGAAACCTGCAGAGTTATTTTGAAACAAAACTTAAAAACTGGCCACCAAGTTTTATGGGTGCATCTCCAAGAACATCACAACATAAAATCATGCTTCACACATTAAACAGGCAAACAGATGAACAAGATGAGTCTCCAGTTATCATTCCTGCATAATCCATCCGGAGATATGACACACTTGCATCATATGATGAGAGCTGAATCGGCAGAAAGGTGGAATTCAGCCGCAGAGATGACAGTGGAGGACGGAGATGCAATTCAATCAAACTGGGAGGCAGCCCAGCAGAGAACTGGGAGGTTTCACCTCCACAGATGAAGAAGTGGGGCATTTGAAGCCCGTTCTTCCAGGTCTGCATGTTTGTTTGAATGGCACCTTTTTAACACACAGGTGGAGAAAGTAGAGCCAACAGGAAGCGTTTTATTATGCACTAATCTACAGCCTACAACGTCATTAAGCTACAGTCTACAAGCATCACAGCTATGCTGCTAAGATAAAGAATTATTGGGATTTGAGGATGAGATTTTTAAAAGCTGCCATGGCATCTTAAAAAGAAATCCCAACGAGATGAGAAATGGAGTCTTCAGTTTTAGCAGTCAGAGGTTGGATCTATTTGTGTTAGTAGAGGCTGTTTATCTTGGATTGTCAAGATAATGCTTGTAAACAGATTGGACAGTGATTGCATGCTCCAGTGCCAACGTTATAAACACAACACCTTCCAATGCTGCTTAGCAGTTGCCATGGCATCTTATTGTGCTAGCTCTACGGAAAACTCTAATGCGTATACCTTTATCATTTTCAAACCATGTCCATACAACATGGCCCTCTTTCTCAAGATGAAATCTATAAATGAATCTGAAATTCAAGAAAGTACTTCACCTTGTGCCAGCCACGTACACATACAGCACTTAGAAACACACAGACATCTACTGGGGGGGGGGGTCCTAGCATCAGAGAGAACATTCCAGCTGTAGTTATTACTTTATCAATACCTTAATGGATGGTCATGCTTATCTGGTAAGAAAATCAGTCATGGTAAATGTACAGACATCTAGCCTAGCAGATAAATGGCTGTTCTTAAAGGATGATGCCAGCAAGCGGGGGCATGTGGGTGCTCCGTCCTGTCCGACATGAAGCCTCGGTGTGACGTGGTCCTCTGCTACTGAACCTGTTCTCCGGTTTGGGACGAGTCGCTGCAGTTTTAAGGAAAAGCTTCGCTGAAATTCCTGCTCTGGTTTGCAGATCTGTGTTGTTTCGTCTTCCTTTAGCTCAGCGAGAGAGAGACGCTTCTGCTGCGTTACTATGAAAGGTTTGTAGACAAGCGTGACACGGGACCCACATGTCCTGCAGACTGGGATCATCCTTTACACTTCATGCAAACAGCCCTCTGTCTTTTCATTGATGCTTAACGGCTGCTTATTCGACTGGTTGGAAATCTCTCTGACATACGGGCTGACTGGCTAAAGAGATCAGACAGACAGCAGCCTCCATCATTACTGGCATCCCAGGAAAAATAAGTGGGAAAAGCCTCAGATAAGTTCATACTTTATTGCAGTACTATAGTTCACAAAGTTAAAGTATACAGAGATATTTAAATATTTCTCGAGATCCTTGATCCTTTCTTATTTCCTTCACGTCTTCGGCTCACCTCAGCCTTTCCAAAGGACTGATGACATGAATCACTTCTTTGTTTATTTGACCAGAGATTTTGGATTAATATCCAACTAGTTACAAGCAGTTTTACATTTAAGAGGTAGATCCACTTATTCTAAATTTCCTGCTATAACAATTTTCTTTTTTTCCTAGTGAAGCCCACTCCTTTTTCATTTGATCTTTTCACCTTGCTGGGAGCGATGGTCATTTCTCGCCTTAATAGAGGAATTCCCCTGCAGAGGCAGTTTGCAGCATTGCTGCATCTCATTGGGTATTAAAAATAAAACCATCTGATCATCAGTCTGTTTGGTTCGACAGCCTGAATGTTTGGGAAACCTTCTGGGCGCTCAGAGTGCGTCAATGACCGGGGTTCTTGTTTTCACTGCTCTTCTCTCGTGTAAATGTGCAAATAAAGAACTAAATGTGTTTAGAAGCACGTTTACAAAAACACCATTTCCATGGCCATTATACTAGCCAAAAGTCAGTATATCCATCTAAGTTCCGTCATTTTGACTGTTTTTAATGTGAGTTTGGGCTGAAAGGTGCTTGACAGAGTCCTGAAGGAGAACGCCCAGATGTCAGTCAAAGGCCGATACGCCCACGACAAGAGGAGCACGGCAGCCTGAAGCTCTGCGTAATGAGGACGTACATAAACATAGCGGCCCACCGGTGTATTTCACCATAGCGACACACGGGTGTATTTTACCATTGCGGCGCGCCGGTGGATTTTACCATTGCGGCGCGCCGGTGTATTTTACCATAGCGGCCCGCCGGTGTATTTTACCATTGCGGCGCGCCGGTGTATTTTACCATTGCGGCGCGCCGGTGTATTTTACCATTGCGGCCCGCCGGTGTATTTCACCATAGCGACACACGGGTGTATTTTACCATTGCGGCGCGCCGGTGTATTTTACCATTGCGGCCCGCCGGTGTATTTTGCCATAGCGGCCCACCGGTGTATTTCACCATAGCGACACACGGGTGTATTTTACCATTGCGGCGCGCCGGTGTATTTTACCATTGCGGCGCGCCGGTGTATTTTACCATTGCGGCACGCCGGTGTATTTTACCATTGCAGCGCGCCGGTGTATTTTACCATTGCGGCGCGCCGGTGTATTTTACCATTGCGGCCCGCCGGTGTATTTTACCATAGCGGCCCACCGGTGTATTTTACCATTGCGGCCCACCGGTGTATTTTACCATAGCGGCCCACCGGTGTATTTTACCATTGCGGCGCGCCGGTGTATTTTACCATTGCGGCCCGCCGGTGTATTTTACCATTGCGGCCCGCCGGTGTATTTTACCATAGCGGCCCACCGGTGTATTTTACCATAGCGGCCCACCGGTGTATTTTACCATAGCGGCCCACCGGTGTATTTTACCATTGCGGCGCGCCGGTGTATTTTACCATAGCGGCCCACCGGTGTATTTTACCATTGCGGCGCGCCGGTGTATTTTACCATAGCGACACATTGGTGTATTTTACCATTGCGGCCCACCGGTGTATTTTACCATTGCGGCCCGCAGGTGTATTTTACCATAGCGGCCCGCAGGTGTATTTTACCATAGCGACACACCGGTGTATTTTACCATTGCGGCGCGCCGGTGTATTTTACCATTGCGGCCCGCCGGTGTATTTTACCATTGCGGCCCACCGGTGTATTTTACCATAGCGGCCCACCGGTGTATTTTACCATAGCGGCCCACCGGTGTATTTCACCATTGATGCGCGCCGGTGTATTTTACCATAGCGGCCCACCGGTGTATTTTACCATTGCGGCGCGCCGGTGTATTTTACCATTGCGGCCCACCGGTGTATTTTACCATTGCGGCCCGCAGGTGTATTTTACCATAGCGGCCCGCAGGTGTATTTCACCATAGCGACACACCGGTGTATTTTACCATTGCGGCGCGCCGGTGTATTTTACCATTGCGGCCCGCCGGTGTATTTTACCATTGCGGCCCACCGGTGTATTTTACCATAGCGGCCCACCGGTGTATTTTACCATAGCGGCCCACCGGTGTATTTCACCATTGATGCGCGCCGGTGTATTTTACCATAGCGGCCCACCGGTGTATTTTACCATTGCGGCGCGCCGGTGTATTTTACCATTGCGGCCCGCCGGTGTATTTTACCATTGCGGCCCACCGGTGTATTTTACCATAGCGGCCCACCGGTGTATTTTACCATAGCGGCCCACCGGTGTATTTCACCATTGATGCGCGCCGGTGTATTTTACCATAGCGGCCCGCCGGTGTATTTTACCATAGCGGCGCGCCCGTGTATTTTACCATTGCGGCCCACCGGTGTATTTTACCATTGCGGCCCGCAGGTGTATTTTACCATAGCGGCCCGCAGGTGTATTTTACCATAGCGACACACCGGTGTATTTTACCATTGCGGCGCGCCGGTGTATTTTACCATTGCGGCCCGCTGGTGTATTTTACCATTGCGGCCCACCGGTGTATTTTACCATAGCGGCCCCACCGGTGTATTTTACCATAGCGGCCCACCGGTGTATTTCACCATTGATGCGCGCCGGTGTATTTTACCATAGCGGCCCACCGGTGTATTTTACCATTGCGGCGCGCCGGTGTATTTTACCATTGCGGCCCGCCGGTGTATTTTACCATTGCGGCCCACCGGTGTATTTTACCATAGCGGCCCACCGGTGTATTTTACCATAGCGGCCCACCGGTGTATTTCACCATTGATGCGCGCCGGTGTATTTTACCATAGCGGCCCGCCGGTGTATTTTACCATAGCGGCCCACCAGTGTATTTTACCATTGCGGCCCACCAGTGTATTTTACCATTGCGGCCCACCAGTGTATTTTACCATTGCGTTCCACGGGTGTATTTTACCATAGCGGCCCACGGGTGTATTTTACCATTGCGGCCCATCAGTGTATTTTACCATAGCGGCCCACCGGTGTATTTCACCATTGCGGCGCGCCGGTGTATTTTACCATTGCGGCCCGCCGGTGTATTTTACCATAGCGGCCCACCAGTGTATTTTACCATAGCGGCCCACCAGTGTATTTTACCATAGCGGCCCACCAGTGTATTTTACCATAGCGGCCCACCAGTGTATTTTACCATTGCGGCCCACGGGTTTATTTTACCATAGCGGCCCATCAGTGTATTTTACCATTGCGGCCCACCAGTGTATTTTACCATTGCGGCCCACGGGTTTATTTTACCATAGCGGCCCACCAGTGTATTCTACCATTGCGGCCCGCCGGTGAATTTTACCATAGCGGCCCACCAGTGTATTTTACCATAGCAGCCCACCAGTGTATTTTACCATAGCAGCCCACCAGTGTATTTCTGCGTAGCGGCCCACCAGTGTATTTTACCATAGCGGCCCACCAGTGTATTTTACCATTGCGGCCCACGGGTGTATTTTACCATAGCGGCCCATCAGTGTATTTTACCATAGCGGCCCACCAGTGGATTTTACCATTACGGCGCGCCGGTGTATTTTACCATTGCGGCCTGCCGGTGAATTTTACCATAGCGGCCCACCAGTGTATTTCTGCATAGCGGCCCACCAGTGTATTTCTGCATAGCGGCCCACCAATGTATTTCAGCGTGGAGGCACTTTGGGTTGGCATTTGGAAAGGTTGTTGAAAATGTTTTTATGGAGTCCTGTTGACCCTAAAAATGTCTCTCCTTTCTGCGGTTCTGTAACATTAAGCTTGGGTGGCTTTTTAAAAAATGTTCCTTCTCAGTTATTACGCAGCTTTCTTCTTGTTTCCATTCACTAACTTCTGTATATCCTAATTTCTGAAATGTTGAATTTTCTTGTTTGTCTGACTTTTGGTGAATCAATAAGGTTTTTTTAACAAAAGTTCCTATTTGACTAACTTAATATTGTAAAGTATAAATGACAAGATATCCATAAGTCAGATTTGTGATAATATTGGTCCCTTAACATAAAACACACTAACAATAAAGGTTGTATTTCCCTTTAGTTTTTCAGGGATTAATGCTACTGCAATAACAATGAATTTATCTTCAGACTTTTAATCCGTTTTTACCACTGGAGCCATCAAGGGTGGAGGGCGCTGCAACACAACGAGTGAACCTTTTCTCTTGGCTTTTCTGAGTTACGTGTTTTAAAACTGGCCTATTTCCACTCAGAACCAAGGCGCGTGATAAACGAGGAGCAGAGAGTAAAAAGGAGAGCAGGTTATTAAAGAAAGAGTAAACAGCGATGAGAAGACAGAGTAGATCAGTGAGGAAAACCAAACAAAAAGGAAAATCACCTGGTATCTTCTTGTTGCCTCACCTTTCTGTTTGGTCACCTTTCTCACTGTCATGGCCGCCTGTCGTTTCTGGTACTCAGAGATCTCGAAACCTAAACAGCAGCACAGGAGTTTGGTTAAACTTCCTCGGATCATAGGTTTAGATCATCAACCAAATGACCTGTTATCTGTTACAGAGGCTGAAGGAAAGCTGGAGCAGCTCAGAATCAGGAGGAACCTAAATGATAACTCATTTAAACTGAGTCATTTATCTCCGGGGGAAAGATTCACAAAACAGGTTTAAGAAACTCAGACCGAAACCCTCAACTCTGAAAAGATCTAGCCTAAGGTTGAAAAGTTTTCAGTTTTGTCAAAGCTTTCATGAATTGGTTCAATCAACTCTAAGTAGGGCCACTCAGAGTTGAACATGTGCTTAACAAGTATTAAAAGCCAACAAGTCTCCATGCCGACAGGCATGTATCTAAAATACAGAGAGGCAGCACTACAGCTGTAAAGGAGAGGAAGATGGAGACGGAGAAGATTGTTGCTCCGGTTAATTCGTAAGTTTAAATAAAGTGTTCTATGGCAGGCCGTTTTTACATTTATTAAAATCACTCTCCTCTCTTTTGTTCCATTTGTAGATCATTAAAAAAAGATTCTTCTTGATCAAAATCACACTCCTAGACTGAACTGTAACAACTGATTTTGTAAATTACATTTTTGTAGCAGAAACTGAATTTTAGAAAGTAAAAAAAAAATATATATATATACAAATTATATTATATAATATATATATGCTAGTAAGAATTAAGTTTTACGAACCTATAAAGGTTTACTAATTTTAATTAATCTTTCTGACATTTATCAGCTTGACTGAATATGTATTTATGATATCTAAAATACATTTCTTCATAGTCAAAATAATACAAATGCTGACCACTAACATTAGGAATATGGAGATCTGATATTAATTTCTAGACAGAATGTTTATTCTAGATGTGAAGAATGTCATTTTGTTTGAAATGGTCATTTAGAGAAAATTTTTTCTCAGATATCAAGAATATATACTCAGTAAAACTAATACATATCAATATATATATATATATATGACCTGCTGTGACCACGGGGGTCGTTACGGGTCATTATGGGTTTATCGCTTCAATGGTAGTAGATTAATGTATGTATTCAGGTGAAATCATCTGTCAGCAGGTGAAGATGAAGAATAAAGAATGTTGCTCTAATAGATAGGACCTGTTCATCATCTCATGGTTTCCTCCTCAGTTTGATTCTGTCTTCCACAACGTTTAATCCCAGTGGTGTCAAAAGTTCCCACATTAGTTCCTTCAGTAGAAGTATAGATCCTGCAGTTTAAAAACACTCTGGGAAAAGTTGAAGTATCAACTTGACCTCTTTACTCAAGTAAAAGTGAAAAAGTATGTGCTCCAGAAACTACTTAAAGTATAAAAGTATAAAGTAACCTTTAAAAAAAAACAGCCAGATGCCACTATATGAACTGAAAGCTCAATTTTGGACTATTTCTAAATATTCTCTGAGATAGGGCCGAGGATGAGGGAGGTCTGGTTGGTCTCCGTCTCCCGATACGCTCTCGCCTGTGTCCGACCTTTCAGACATTTCAGCATCTTTTTCTGAATCCCACATTGTAGCATGGCATAGACAATTCACGTTAGTAGTTTGAAGAACACCTGCTTGCTTCTGATGGTTTCCTTTAGCTAACCAATGAGTGTTTGCCTTCTATGACTCATCCTATCACACTAGTTTTCACTAGATGTGGATGGAGCCAATGATCTGCATTGGATGGAGCACATGACGGGAAATAAAGATTTAGAAACATTAAACCGAAGCCAAGAGTAACGAGGAACGTTTGTTTTAAAAATGTACGTAATAGAAAGTACAGATACTGGTGTGAAAATGTAATGAGTAGAAGTCAGAAGTAGGAAGAACAATAAGTAATGGAGTAAAGTATAGATACCTAAAAAGTGTACTTAAGTATTTGTACTTCGTTCCTTGACACCTCTGATTAATACAAAGTGGCTGTTTGCAGTCGCTTTGGACGTTATCATCCGTTATCGTCCCCAAAATGGTTGTTATTAGCAGCTATAAGGCCCTTAGATTGTGCCAGTAGACTCTACCCTAAAGTTATTCCTTTTCCCCTGCGGAATTAAAGAATTTATTTATGTGTAATCTGAAATAATTTTAGTCGTTCTTCATGTACTGTAAAAATAATTCAATAAAAATAAAATGATCCGCTCTACCGTCTTGTACTCTATCTTGAGATCATATCCTCTTCCTGTAAATATTAAATTCTCTGTGAATAAATGCCGATCGCTCTTTAATAAGATCCTCGTCAAACGGACATGAAATGTTTGTTTTTAAAACGTGTCTAACGGACCTAGAGAAAGACTTCTTTCTATTGTTCACATAAAACTACAACTAAATCTGAATCAGGAAATAAAGCATCCTGATTGGCTGTAAGGAGAGCAGAGACAGAGGACACTCTGAGTTTCCTGAAGAAAACCTGAGCTGACCAGGTTAGCTCTGGGAGGATGTTACCATGGCAACAGATACACAGGTCGAGGAAACTCTTTGTGAAACGGAAAACTCAAAAGTTTCCCTCATTTCAAGTTTAGAAAACTTGCTTCCTGATCAGAAAAAATAAAGAAACTGATTCTACTCTAACCTAGAAGCTGTATATAGTCTCTATAGAGGAAGCTGGATTACCAATTTTCTCGTCCTCTTGCACCATCTTTCTCTCTTCGTGGAAGGCCCTGAGCCAACGGATCTTTTCTTCGGGCTTTTTGGCCAAGAAGATGTGGATCTCCTCACTGTCTTTGTTGTACAGCTTGAAAGCGTTCTTAACGCTGACGTTAAAGTCGTCGTCTCTGCCGTCTATGGCGTCCCGGACTTCGTAGCGATCCATGTCGATGCGGCCTTTGTAGTACAGGATGTCCCGACGAATCAGGTCCTGGTGAGCAGAAAGATTTACTCAACAGGGTTCCTCTCTTCTAGCTGTGCTGAGCGCGTCTTAAAGGCAGTAAATCATAATAATGCAGAATAAATATCAACATTTAAAGTTTGTCATTCTACAACCATAAACCATCACTGTTACTTCATTAGCGTTTGATGTGGATAAGGGCTGCAGCCAATGATTGTTTTCCAAATCGATTAATCTGTGGATTATTTTTCTGATTAATCGATTAATAATCGGGTAGCCACAGGTTCCTTAAAGAAGATTATTTTATTAAACCAGTTGAAACTAAAACTTTTCCAGTTGAGGAGCTTTGTCGATTAATCAATGACTAAATTAGTCGATGATTATTTCAATAAATGATTAATCCGATTCATTTTTTCAAACTTAAAGGAATAGTACACCCAAAACATGATTAGCCTTCATTTTCTACTCACCCCCATGCTGAACAAAACTCTGGAGTACTTTTTTGATATCTCAAATGCATCTGGAGATCTGGGAGGCTTCTTGCTGTCTGCTGACATTCAAATAATGGAGGTCTATGGCGCCCGAGGCAGAAAGGTCCATAAAAGTCCACAAAAAACGTGTCAATATTCCTCCATACTGCTCGTCCAATGTATTCCAAGTGTCCTGAGTGGGTAGCGTCCAGAATTTACTCGAAACGAAGTCATTTAGAATGTTTTTAGAGCATAAACAGTAGTGTATAGGATTTCCTGAAAGCGAGTTCACGAGTCTACGGAAGCCGGCAGACCAAACCAGACGAAAGTGCGCATTCAGCTCAGCAAAGAACTCATGCTCTTCCTCAACACTGAAGTCCTCAGACATTTTTCTTTCGTTGTTTCTTTCTTTGCACAGGTAAACAGCACATTTCTTCTTCTGCGCTTGCATTATCGGCAGAGCAGACGCTGAATGCGCACTTTCATCTGGTTTGGTCTGCCGCGGTTTCCGTAGACTCGTGAGCGCGCTTTTAGGAAATCCTATACACTACTGTTTATGCTCTAAAAACATTCTAAATGACTTTGTTTCGAGTAAATTCTGGACGCTACCCACTCAGGACACTTGGAATACATTGGACGAGCAGTATGGAGGAATATTGACACGTTTTTTGTGGACTTTTATCGACCTTTCTGTCTCGGGCGCCATAGACCTCCATTATTTGAATGTCAGCAGACAGCAAGAAGCCTCCCAGATCTCCAGATGCATTTGAGATATCAAAAAAGTACTCCAGAGTTTTGTTCAGCATGGGGGTGAGTAGAAAATGAAGGCTAATCATGTTTTGGGTGTACTATTCCTTTAATGTGAAATTAATTGTATTAAGCATGAATGACAAGTCAATACTTTATTTAACACTTTTTCCTAGAATACTTCAGAGTACTTCGATTCCCAGGCTACTGTGGGACCTGAGCTGTGGATCTGTGCAGCTCATCCAGAGTGACCATGCTGGCTAACTATCTGATTTCTCATCTCAGTAACTGGACTAGAAACATTTAGGTCTAGCTTTAGTTAACCCTCTCATGCATGAATGATGATAAACTCAATCAGGATTTTTGTTTTTTTATACATCTTTAGGAATGGAAAACAAGGTTTAAAAAAAATGTTTTTAATCTTTATTCTATAAATAAATATTGATCTGTCCCCTCAGGTGTATTTGATACTGCAAAAAAAAAAGAAAAAAAACTCAATATACCACTATAGTTATATGTAGTTGTCATTTAGTTCCCCAGTTGTAATATGGTTTTCTGCTGGAATTCTGGTTCCTCTGTTCCAGGGGCGGAGCTAGATGGGGGGCCAGGGGGGCCATGGCCCCCCTTAGCCAATCATTGGCCCCCCTGTGGCCACCTCTACCATTTTTTCCCTTTAATACAGATTATGGCAGCAGTAACACTCTAAAGTGGAATATTCAAAACATTAAATTTTTTCATACATTAACATTTACTTGACAAGAAAAACACTGTTGTTAATTAATTAATTAATTATGCACACCACTGTACTAAAATTAAAGATGATAAGCACAGAATTCCTGCTCTTTTCAGATCTAGATTTTGTGTTATATGGTGTAAAGAGAAAATGATGCGTCTCTGCAAATTATCAAGGAGTCTTCAGTGAAATCATAGATACCTATTATAGTAAAAACGTATTAAATAATCAATTTATGCAGATATTACTTGTAAATGTCAATTTTATGCATAATGATTATTGATAAAAGTAGGTGAGTAACGATACTGGAAAAGATGTTTCTAACCTGAAAGACCTTTTTATCTAGAAAGCACAGATGTTTAAATATATGCATCTATTTGTTAGAAAAAGACTGTAGTAAAGTAAAGTTAGTCTTTATTTTATTTATTTATGGATGTTTTGCTTGTCATATTTCCTGTTGGATCAGTGCAGACTGACCCTGAGGTTCCGCCTACCCACTTTCTGCCCCCCCCCCCCCCCCCCCCCCCCCACCCCCCCCCCCCCCACCCCCCCAGTGGACTTTGGTTACTGCCTGGCCACCCTTACAAAAATGTTCTAGCTCCGCCTCTGCTCTCCTCCCCTGTAGAAACCGAAGTGTTTGGTCTTTTTTTACACCCTGTGTGTGTGTGTCAGCCATCTTGGTTTCACTGACTTTTTTTCCCATAGCAGTGATCAAGAAATGAGATTTTTCTGGATGGGATGATGCAATCGCTTCAACTAGAATGGAGTAAATATGCATAAGTGCCAAAATATCGAAGGCTTATAAATAGAAACAAAAACACTTGTAAACAGCCGTAAACTGAAGTGATCACTATGCATTAAAGGGTTAAAATGGAGCTTCTTACAATGTCTAAAGCTTTAAGTCTTGTTTTATATCCAAAGCTCAGCTCTGTGTCTTTATGATGCTGGAGGCTCACAAACGGTTAACAAGCAGCTGACTTCCTGTTGAAATGAAATTACACTTAAAGGTGGAATCATGGATCTTCTTTTCAATTTAAAAGCCTTTTTTGGTCAGAAGGGGAAATAAATGGGATCCGTGTGTCAAGAATAAAGGAGAATAAATACAAATAGATGCCTAACTTCCAGTTTTCTTCGTTTATTTGCATTTCCTGATACTTCACAATAATTAATTCCTTATTTATTTATTTTTTTATTTTTTTAGAAAGATGATATCAAGGCTACTGTAAAAATAAAAAATAAAATAGCCACTGTTAAATATCAAACATTTTGCTCCAAATCAAAGAAAAGTTTAGGTTAAATTCAGTTATTTGTTTTGTCTTTCTTATCCAAATGTTCTTTTAAAATGTTATAGATTATTTAATATTATATGTTTTTAAATAATCATAAGAAACAACCCTCCATATCTCTTTACTTTGTAAAGAAATCAAAACATTTCATGAATAAACAATGAAAGATAAATGCAGATCTTGTAAGTATAGAATGCATCTACTTCTACGGCTGCAACTAATGGTTACTTTGCAAATCTTTGAATATTTTTTTGATAAATCGATTAATAATCTTGTAGCCAAATGTTCCCTAAAGAAGACTTTTAATGAAATCAAACCGGGTGAAACTAAAACTTTTCCACTTGAGGAGTTCTGCATAGAGCAGATTAACAGATGAAAACATATTTATTTTATTGTAAATGCAAAGTATTTATATATTTGTTTTATAATGTTGTTATAATTTCTGCTCTAAGTGAGTCGCTCTGTCAGCTGTGGACACGTTTTAGAGTCTCTTTACTCCAGTTAATGATTGATCGATTACTGATTGGCTGATTGATTATTTCCTTAACCGATCAATCGGATCTACCCTGGAGGCTGCTGGATCCCAGGTTGTTTTCAGGACGCTGGTGATTAAACTATCTGAAAACAGGCAGGAGTTTTTAATCTAGAACATGTTGCAGCTAAATCCACACAGATAGGAAAATAATATTTAAATAAAAACCCAACAAATGACTGAGGTTCAATTGGAGAGTCTCTAATAGGAGAACTGAAAGATGGGAAAACATCTATTTTTTCTGTGTATTTTTGATGTGATGAAAGTGTTGCTCCACTGTGTGCGTTAGAGCAGGGATCCGGGCTCCGTGTGTGTCTATGTGTCCATCTGCATTTGTGTCTCCATCTCTGAGAGTCTACCGAGTCCAGCCGAGCGTGCGCATTGGTTTGACAGGGAGAATAACAGCCCAAGTGCATTAGAGCCCAAACCACCACAGCTCCATTTTGTGAAATGCGCTCAGGATTTGAATGCGTCTTCCCAGAGGACTGGTGTGTCTCATGCAGCGTTATGTAATCTATTTTCAACTCCTCACTAAGGTTGTATGAAGTCACGCTGCGTTCAAGCATCCCCTCTTAACCAGCCATGTGATGCTGCAGCTCACTCTAGCTCAAACTGGGGGTTTAGTCTTTGCAACCAGCTTGTTTTCTACCCATAAAAATAAAAAGAAGCTGAAAGAAACAAACATGGAGGCAGATAGAGCTTACCTTTTTACAGAGGACCAGCTGGTGATCAAAGAGGAAGAAGATCCGCTGCTGGCTGCGTCCGTACGGCTGATATATCCATGACAACTCCCCGGTGTAGATAAGCTCAGAGCTCCTGTCCAAGATATCGTCTCCCTGGATACGATCACAGAGAATCCTAACTAATTAAAAACACATTGGTGCGGCGCACACTTACTGTCACTTTACTAATAATGGCAACAATTTCTCAGCCATTGGAAAGTTATGTAATGATTTTTAGGGAATTCTCAGAATTCTGAGAAATCATCTGTAATAAAGCAGAAGCAACCATCTGGGTTTGTCTTACCGCAGTGCTCACTAGTGATCATTGTTTACATTATTTCTATTGTCACGTTAAGCCTGAGCTTTTAGACATTTATTAGGTTACTTCCTCATAATATGGGGTTCAGTTCCAGTGCAGCAATGCAGCAATGCAGCAATGCAGCAATGGCTCCAACAACCTCAGGGAGTCATGGAGTGAAAAAAAATTACCGCTTTAAATAACCTTTTAAATCTTCCATCAAAATCCTTCCTTTGGTTTAAAGGTCATTTAATGCCCGGACTGTGGTGCGGAAATCTGAGTTTTACTCTTTAGCTTTATGTCCCTGCCCCACTTGTTGCTGCGGACTGCAAGTCACCCAAAAGAAACTATATTTTCCCAACTTAATAATAAAAAATGTTTGGTTTTGTAGAAATATTTCCAATCGCAGGAACAAAGGAGCTAGATCAGACTCTGGGTGGTTATTTTATTAATGTTTTGCATATCTGAGGTAGACAGGTGTCATATTGTAGCCTGGGTGCCATTCCGAACTTAGTCCCGCCCACAACGTTTGAGGTTGGGAAGTTCGGTCTGGCATTGCTCAATAGTAGCGCGAGTATGCTAGCACAATATCTGGTCGGACCAATCAAATTGTCAGGGCGGGCTTTATACGATGATGGACAGATGATCAACAGTAACGTAATCAACCACGTGACCAAAGCGCGCTTGGGTGACAACAACAATGGCTGCCGCTGGAGAGTTGAGGTGAGTAGATTCTGCTATTAGGTCTGTTCTAGAAGATATCGACAGCAAATTAATTTTAAAAGAGGAACAGAGAAACGCGATCAAGGCTCATCTTCTTATTCTAGGCGTGCAACTGCACGCTTTGCTTTTTGTTGACAACAACTATGCGTCGCTTAACATACGTCACGCACTCCGTTGCTCTTATTGGTTGTAGGTCTATCCAATTGAGTGCAGAGGCATTTTTTTTCCTGGTTCGTTCGAAACACGCCCCATAATCACAGCTCTATGGAGCAGCATCAGACTCATTCTGACTAGAATTGAGTAGGACTACGTCAGGCTAGTCATATTGCAGAACGCTAGTGAAATAAAGAATAATATAAAACATTTTCTCACTGAAATCGATTTTATTTCCTTAAAACAACTAAAGCTGAAAACTTTCATATCCGACCTACATTTGTTGGTATAAAATGTTCTGATTTTTTTACTGGAAATAGTTTGTTTGTATCTATTTTCATAGTTAGACATTTGTTGTTGGACAATTTGGTTTTGTAAAGCTCTTATATAGGTCTTATATTTGTAGCTATTTTCAAACATCATAACCAAACAATTTTACAAACACGACAAGATCTGGAAAAGCACCGAACCATTCCGGTTCTCCCCATTCTAGATCTATACAACTACAAGCCTTTACGCTATAATCTGAGTAAAATCATTAGTGCGTGTGTTTTGTGTTGTACCTTAGCCAAGCATGTCACCTTTGACCTTAGGACAGAGCTGAGTGATTCTAACCCATGCAAAATGGATGTTTGCTTGGTATTTAAATGATCGGCATTAGCTGTTCAAAGATGGAAATGTTTAGCCGTTTTCATAAATTAGACTTTGAAAGTTGTCTACCAGCTGTCTCCTTTACAAAACATCTAGATGTAAGAAACACCTGAGAGATTTAAGCCTGTTTTGTCGTTTCCATAACCTGGATGACCGAGACTTGTTGTCCTAAAACATGAACACAGATCACATTCTGCTCGGTAACTGTTGAATTTCTAATAAATGTCTTTTGGAACGACTCTCATTAGTAAGAAAATAAAATTAGCAGAAACTTTTTAGTGGTGTACATACCTCCCAGTCAAGAACGGAGGCTTGCCACTGGGCGATCTTGTCGATGTTCTCCAACCTCCTCTTCCTCTCATTAATCTGCTGAGTGACGTTCCGCATTACTGCCAAGGCAGCTGCCACGTATCGATAGTCGCTACAGACAAAAGGTACACGTAATTACTCAACAGTGTTGAGGAGTTAAGTTACAGCTTCTGGAGTTTGGCCACTCAAACACATTTTACGCAGCATTAGTGAGGGATACGGAGAAGCCTATTAAAGGCGGCGGTGAGTAAGCGGCGTAAGCCGAATGAAATACAGTCAAATTAACACACAGCTATTTAATTTCAGCCAGCCGTCTCTATTCACAGTCAGGTCTGACAGCATCGATGCAAACTGAGCTGGATTTATCCCACTGGCTAAGACGTGCTGCGGATCCAATCCTCACTTTGGAAGATAACGTGTGTATGTGTGTGCTTGTGCGGCAGTGTGGTGTGAACAAGTGTGACAGACACAGGCCTATAACTGGCAGATTCTCCACAGCTCTCAAACAGTAAAACACTGTGATCTGGCAGGCGTTTCTGGCCTAGCTGGCACCTGTCCCTTTCTGGCTGAGGATGCTCGCTTTGTGAATGACCTGGAGCTGGCAGAGACACGCTGAATTTCTTGCACTGGGTTTATGTGGGATTGCATGAATGAGTTTGCACATCTGGATGTTCGCACACACATTTGGGAGTGAGAGAGCATGTGCAAATGTTTACATCTTCCGCCCGGCTCCTGCACCGTGCACACGCACGTGATATACTTTACAACTTTGTGAAATATGCTCCTGAAACAACATTTTCTAGTCTGGATTCACACAGTTTGCTTTCCATCTGTTTCTGTTCAAGCACAGATAATTACCTCTTCACTAGAATAAACTCAAAACCCGCAGGAGATGCATTGTAGGTGCATGTCCAGGAGGAAAGCAATGCAGTTCAGGTTCTAACGTCATGGAATTATTCTACAGTACAGTACCTGTGGTCTTGTGCTGTGTATTTAAGCAGCTCGGCCAACTGAAGGGGATATTTGCAGATTTTCTGGACAGGGGTGAGCAAGAAGCCGTCTATAGCGATGTCAATCATTTGCTGGAGAAGGCGACATGCCTCGAAGAAGTGCTGATACCTGCCGTCCCTCATCAGTTTGCTTAACTCCATACATGCGTCCAAGTGGTTGTTGCAGTATTCTGAATAGATCCAGAATCCATCTTGCTGCAATGTAAAGAATGAGAGATGATTCACCAGAAGATGAAAACGCTGCTGAACCTACAGCAGCAGATACAGAGCATTTCCAAAGAAATGTTTTCTAGATATTTTACTTATTTCTAATCTTTAACTGATTTCTGTTCTCTTTACCTCAAGGCCTAGAATTAGTTTATCTCAGACTATAAACTTTTTATTTTATAGTTGATTTGCATCTTGAACCCTGATTGGATTTGATGTTTTTACACTTAACCAACCCTGAATGGATTTAGGAAATCTGGGGCCCTAGGCAAAGACAGGCAGGGGCCCCTCTAAATGGAGACGACAACACATCAAACAGAGCCATTCTCCAGATAGAGAAATGTTAATAGAATAGACATCCATTATCTGTTCTAGGTTGTGTCCCTCTCTTCTTGTCCCTTTTCTTCTTGTTTTCCTCTCTATGTTTTGTACTCAGCTGACTTTTCATGCTGTCTCTAAAGGAATGAAAGATGTTGTCTCCAAAGTCTCCAGCAGCAGAAAAAAGTCTCTAGATTTGGCGCTAGGAGCTTTTTAGAAATCAAAGTGCTAGAGGGGTCTGAAAAGTGGCTAAATATAGCGACTAAAGCGCTAAGTTGGCAACACTGCTCTTTGCATGGTTTGTTTTCAAATGGTTTGCTGCTGTCTGTTTGGACCTTTCTGAACATGTGCAGCAAATGGACTGATCCAATATGGTGGACACTGAAGGGGGGGGCTGAGACACATTTATTATCAGCGTTCTGATGGCATTTTAGCCAAAGGATTTTTATCAAAAACATAATTAATGTGCAGAAATAAGGAAACATGGAATACATAATACATGGAAACAGAGGCAACTGCCAAGTATTGCCTAATGGTGAATACCCTCTATGCTGACTGCAGCCCTCCCAGAGTGAACACTCTTACTAGTAATGAAGTCAGAGGAAGCACTAAAGGTGTGAGAGGCTTCCAGAAAAATGGTGTATTTTCTAGAAAGGTTTATTCAGGCTTTAACTGTTCAGCTTTAACTGAGCCTGGTTCTGCTGAAGTTTTTCCTCTCCACTGTCGCTACAAGCATGCAGTGAGAGGGATTGCCTTAGAGTCAATGAGTCGATGCAATCAACTGGTTTTCATTATAGAAAACTTTGAATCTATTTGACTGGTTTTATTGTCTCTATAAAATGCCTTGAGATGACGTGTGTAGCGAATTGGTGCTATAGAAATAAACTGAATAGAATTGGACTGTTCAAAAACAGGCAAATGTCAGTCGCGAAAAGTAAACTGAAGGTTCTGCAGCAAAGCTGCTCTGTTTCGGCCTTTTCAGTAGTGATGTACTTATGCTAGCAATGCTAATCACATTAACAATGCCAAACGCTGATAAAAGATAGAAAAAATGGTTTAAAATGTCATCTCAGCGATCATTTGGTCTTTATTTTAAAGTAGCAGTAAAAAAACTAAATCAAAATGGACATTACGGTATACATCTACAACATTTAACCATAGAAGATTTACCATTTAGTTGTTGTTAAGTCTATAACATTTTAGAATAATGAATCCCTCGGTGGATTCAGACTCAATCAGCTCTTTTGGTCTCAGGCTGTTAGCAGAACAACGAAAAACTCAGGAATGAGGACATAAAAAGCAGATATAAACCAGGTGTGAGGCTCCTGTATATTTGCATTAAATGGACAACATTACAGTCCCCCTTATAAAGATCTATGATTCTCTATCTATGATTTTCCCTCTAAATCAGTAGGCTTGGTATAAAGTAGAATAAAAATGGAAATAATGTGATGTTAATGATTTCCAGCAGCCCTATAAGACATATAACAAATATATTTTAACTTATCTTTGAAGGTATCTCTTTTAGTAATAATTGTCTTTATTTTCAGTAATTAGAAAGAGGTGAAAAAAATCCTGCAAGGACCTAAAATTCCGGCATCAAACCTCAGATGGCTCCATGCAGGAAGATTAGACAGATGCTCTGTAATGTTGGGCTGTTTTTTTGCTTATTTTTCACTGCATTTCTGCTGCTATCTAAGTTTCTAAAGATAAACAAGAATCTGCTGAAATCTGCAACAAATGCTTGAAAATGAAAGGCAACAATGGTTATCCCTTCTTTCCTGTTTAGTGCGAACAAAAAAGAGAAATACTCACATGTTCTAAGAAGCATGGCCCGATCTCAGAGAGGTGCGGTTCCTCCGTGTTGTACTGTTTCTCCAAATCTCTAACAAAGCCCATCTGGAAGCGGTAAATGTCCTCAATGTTTCCAAAAATGACCTTCAGCTGGTCATCGTTAAACATGTCCACTCGCTTCCTACACTGGCGTAAGTAACCCTGCAACGACAACAAAAACCTTTGATAAATGCCACGCCACCAGAGTGAGCACTTCTTTCAAAAAGATGACACTTTAAAAAATGAGTTTCACATATTTCTCACTCAGAACTGTGCGAAGTGATTGTGACACGCCTGCTAGTGTTTAATTAAAGGTCATGATGCTTTAACATTTAGTGAAAATATCAAGATGTCAAGTAGTCCAAATAATCAGGGTGAGTGATTTCATACCTCTATTAGGTGAGCATTCATTCTGATGCTAAAAAGCCCTTTACATTACCACACTTATGCAGAGTGCTTCCACTGGCATAAAGTGCAGAGTTGAGAAGGTGAAATTCATGCTTTATTGCAACTATTTTTAAACATCATGCTTCATCCACAGAACAAACAAAGGGCATATAGAGGATTAGGCCTAGATGATTAGATAAGCCAGAAATGTGCATGAGAAACAACCCAAAGTCAGAGCGCCGTGCTTATCTGCTCGATCTGCTTTTAAAAAAGGCTGCTGTGTCTCACACTGCTGCTGGTTTATCAAGAAAAATAATAAAACCTGGACCTGAATACGCTTGCAGAAACAAAGAAGTGATAATTTTGATTGAATAAACAACAAACAAAATAAAATAAATGTATTTAAAGCTACCTGTAAGATTATCTACACTTTAGTTGTCATCTGCAGAACTGAATGTAATCTCTGTTTATTTTGCTAATCTAAATCATTCTTTATAAAGATAAAATCTCACAACCACATGTCCATGATGACATCATATAAGGCATGAAGCAACGAGTTGAGTTCCTCTGAGGACAAACGTTTGTATTTTTCAGTCAACTTTTAAAACATTTAATTGTAGCACTTAGAGATGGTAAATGGTAAATGGCATGTACTTATACAGCGCCTTTATTCAAGTTAGGAGACTTGATCAAAGTGCTTTACACTACATTCATTCACCCATTCACACAAACACTGATGGTGGCAAGCTACATTGTAGCCACAGCTGCCCTGGGGCTCACTGACAGAAGCGGGGCTGCCGTACACTGGCGCCACCGGGCCCTCTGACCACCATCAGTAGACAATGCAGGTGAAGTGTCTTGCCCAAGGACACAACGACACTGAAAGTCGGAGTCGGGGCTTGAACCGTCAACCCTTCGATTTCAGGGCAAACTCCTACATCCAACGCCACTATAGATGGGCTACCTATGCAAAACGTGATCTATAAATATTTTCTAAACCCTTTTATAATCATTATTACCTCCAATAACATGGCTTAGAACCTCATCCTTCTTTTACAAAACTCTCATCTGCCAGTAAAACATGCAATCTGCTCATTTTTTTTTATATTAACATTTTTATTGAGAAAGCATATTACAATTATATACTTATACTCGTTATGTTCATATTTTTACATGCTTTCTCTGTTTTCTAATTATAACACGAGAAAAAAGAAAACCGAACACACACACACACAAAAAAAAAAAACACTTAACTGGGAGTGGCGGGGCAGCCTGAATATCAACTAAAAAGCACAAATCAAGTTAGACCATAAATATGAATGACAGCAAGGTTTATAAAGAAAACTCAGGTATAACAGGTTTGACATACCGTATTCTGTCCACTTGGACCATATCTTGTAGAAAGTGTCTCTCTGCACATTGATGGAAAAAGACAGTCTCTCCAGTGCATACATCTCTTTCACTACACTTATCCAGTCATCAATTGTTGGAGGTTCCCGTTTAAGCCATTTTCTTGTGAGGGCCTTTTTGCTCCCGGCCAGTAAAATGAACAGAAGTTTCTGATCATTGTGGTTCAGTTTGTCTACCGGGATGTTACATAAAAATATGCATTCAAAAGTTAAAGGAAATTTAGCTGAGAATACGTTCTGTAAATGTTCATGGATTTTAGACCAATATTGCTGAATGGCTTGGCAGTCCCAGAAAACAAAATCTGCTCATTTTAATGAGGCAGAACCAGACCGGTTTGCTTGTTTTAATACTTGGGCAGCAATTTTTTTTAGCTCACGTGCAACATTTTACACGTACTAAAAAGAATTGAAAGTATAAATTAGCCCCTCTTATTTGAAACCTTTGCAGATCAGTCCATAAAGCAACAAGAAAAACCTTGAAGGCTAATGGGAAAAGACTGCATGGATCTCTGAAGGACCCGACTGCAACATACGGCTAAACAAACAGCAAGAGCCTCATGCCTCTGGTGATGTCATCGTGCAGCACACCAGCAGAAGGATGAGCTTTTCTTCTGTCCTCAGGACACTTTTACAAACTTTCAGATTGTAAAATGTTTCATTTAAAAGACATATTTTTCTTCCTTCCGTTTGTTTTTACTGCGTTCACACCGGGCGCGTTCTGCGGTTAAAAGCGGCTGGTTTACATGCAAAGTCTATGGCGCTTCCAGCGGAACGTCCAGGCGTTGGGAGCGCCACATTCCGAGGATTCTGGCGACACAGTATCCGACGCTGGAGTTCAGTAAACTGAAAACTTTTCCCGCTGGACGCCGTAGCATCAACCAATCAGAAAAGCTGATCCAGGAGTTTTTTGGGGAGACAGACGCTACCTGCAAGCTGTCATGGCTTCTGCAGACATTCTGCAGATAAAAAATAAATAAATATCAAGGAGTTAAACTCAAAGGTTAAATAAAGCCAGAAGAAGGGATTGTTATGTAGAAGGAACAGAGAGCAGCTCTGATCATTATTGCTCACTAAAATATGTTTTATGAACTATGGAGAAACTGTTTATAAAAACCCAAATTAAATAGAAATGTTAAAACCTGCAAAAGAAAAATATTGGACTGTTTATTTTGGTTCTTGCAGTTTTTACCACAAACCTTAAAAACTTGTACTATTCATTTCCAGCCGCTACGAGCGGCAGCAGGAAATCCCCCGCAGGCTGGCCGCAGCACAGAGCTGTCAGCAGGGATTCCCAGTGCTGCCTCCTGGTGGTAGCAGCGTTGCCAGATTGGGTGGTTTTCATTTAGATTTTGGGGGTAATAATAGTTTTGGGCGGGTGGAGATAATTTGGGCTGGTTCGGAGTCAGAGGAGTAGTCTACCTGGTTATGAATCCATCTGCAGACCTGTTAATAATGCTGTTCTATCAGACCAGCATACCCATAGACAATATGCAGGCACAAGATGTCAGATTCGCATTTATCTCATTAGTTTTGTTCAAACTACCTCGATGGGCGTGTATCTCTTTAGTCATGTACAATCAGATCACCATACGCTTCAAAAAACACCAAAAAGTAAGTAGTTAAATTGTTTTTTTGAACATAACTAAAGGGATACAAGCCAGTTGAGGTAGTTTAAAGTCTATTTTTTGTAAACAACTAAAGGGATAAACGGGTATTGACCATGGGTATGATCAGGCGTCCCCTAAGTCGGTTCTTAAGGGCGGCTGTCCTGCAGGTTTTCGAGGTTTCCCAGTTTTAGCACAGCTGATTATGATGATTGCAGTTGAACAAAAGCCTGTTAATTAGATTCCAATTCCTGCTGAAGCAGAAAACCTCTAAAACCTGCAGGACAGCGACCCTACAGGACCCACTCTGGGGTTGCTGGTTATGCTGGTCTGACTGGGTATGCTCATCTGACAGAACATCAGCATGTGATGCGTCACATGACCCTCCCTGGATCTGCATGGTGCGGTCGCTGGGTCAGAGATGCTTATGGAGAACAGCTCTTGGCAGATTGTGTCGGATTGTAGTGCTTTGTTTTAAAAATGTAGTGTTGAATGAAGTCGTACTGAAGTGTGTTCATGTTCACACCGTAAATATAACAATTTATTAATTGTGCAGGTTGTTGAGTGGTGTGGCGGTTTTTAACAGAAGTTTGGGCCGAAAAACCTCAACTCTATCTGGCAACACTGGGCGGTAAACTGGAGGTCTGCAGCTCCCAACAAGAACTGCAGATTATAGTGGGATTATAATCCTGATGAACTGATGAACAGAGGATGCTTGGAGGTCGACTTTCTCTCTTAAAAACGTGTTAAAACTATTTTCCCCACTCATACAGTAAATAAAGCCAAGCTGCTCTCAGCTGGAAGCTACAGAACAGAGCAGATAAACATCAGAGCTCCGAGCAGCAAAGCAACCGGACCAGTTTGATCCAGAGTCTAGATTTCTGTGCGTTTTTGACGCCCATAACGCCTTCAGTGTGAACGCAGCATTAGTTTACGTCATCTTTGTTTTCTGATCTGAAATTTGTCAATTTTCAAGGTTTTCTTTTTTTCCAAATCTCCCTAAATATCCAGTTAGAGAACATAAAATGATGGAAGCGTTGAGGTAAAACGGAAGTTTAAACCCAAAATAAGGCCTGTTTGTTATTAAATTAAGGCCTTAATTTGCATTAAAATTCATGAAATGTGGTTATCGTGGCAATTAAAATGCTTCATTAGAAATATAAAACCTTTATAAAAACAATTTCGTAAAGCCGTATATTCAGAAAAGAACCTGGAGGAGGAGAAAAAGCTAGAGAATGGGAACATGCAAGTTTTATTTGTTATAGAAAAGCCAAGATGCAGGGAACAGCCTTCACTCCGGACTGTTTTTCTAATCCAAAGATAAAATATGATCATGGTATAAAAGTGTGACAGTGGGAGTGTTAGTGCTTCTCCATGCATCCCTGTGTAGCATCTGAGAGCCCGTCCTACAGCTCACACATGCTGTGTTTATTCATCTTCTTACGCTTTACTACCTCTGCTGCTTGTCCTAGTCCTAAGGAGCGGGTTAGGCCCGTTAATGTTTGCGCCGCTGGTGTGAGCATGTTTTCAGTACCTCACAGATGTCCTTGAGGTGTTTAATGTAGTGTCTCTCTGTGCTCATGATCTCATTGATGACGTTAGCCCTCATCTGGTCTCTGTTTTGAAGGGGTGAGCCGAGACACAGGCAGTCATTGGTGGGATCCAGGTGCCCGTTCTGCACCTCGCTGCTCCCCTCGGCCGGCTCTGCCGCTCCGTCCTCCTGGTTCACCCACAGCTGAGGACAAATACGTTCACACACAGAGCCACGGCATCAGAGCATTTATGAGCACTCTTGGGTTTAATGCATAAATCTAAAGGAAAGTTTTACTAAACATATTCAAACATCCTTAGAATCACAAGTGCAAATAGCCTTTCAGATAAATTCACCTTTCATTGCTGTAGCTTAATCTCACATGATGGGAAAATGTGACACAGTTATGTCTTCTGTCAGTAAATAGCTAGCAACTAGTCCTCTATTATGTTTAACAAGGTTAAGGCCTCTGTGGGTGATGTAGAGATTCTATTTATAGACTCTACATCAGCCACACTCCCTGGCCCTAACTGATGCTCATCAGCTCTATAAAATTAAAAATTCTCTGCCTGTTTTTGGAAGGTTTTCCTCTGGAAACTTTGCTTAAATGTTCAAATTCCACAAGCAGCAGCTGCTGGAGTTGGAAACATTGATCTTTATCTGCTGGACGCCGCATCAACCAATCAGAGAAGCTGATCTGGGAGCTGGCAGGGAGTCAGACGCAGCATTGCTGATGCAGAGCGCTATGATCACTCCTCTGAAACAGTTTATTAACGCCTAAATTAACTTCAAATGTAGAAACCTGCCGGCAGAATATGTTGGCTTTTATTATCCTGCTGCCTGCAGTTTGTAGCACACACCTGAAAAACGCTAACATCTACTTCCTGCCGCTGCACGTACCAGATCTGCTCGGCCCCGCCCCTTCTTATGATGTCATCATATGGCAACTCCATTCAGAGAAACTGTTGCACCCATTTATTAAGGATCAAATGTCGTTTGGAGTCTCAACATATTATTCCCTATATTTGCTATTATTTTAAAAGTAGTGTAGCGTAATGTGGCTAACTGAGCGAGCTAACAGATGCTAACCTGTTAGCTACAGCTAGCCACAGCGCTACCCAGCTCTTTACATCACGGTCTAACAGTTACGTTGTTCACCAGAAACAGATTTTTTCAGTGTTGTTATCGATCAGGTAAACCTTAATCGGTCATTAGACGCGCTAACGCTACAGATGCTCCCGATTTGCCACGCTAACGCTGATGTTATTATCGTTGTCTAGGCAACCACAATGTTTTACATCATGTGGTAACATTCAGCCAGTGATGTAGCGTAACGTCACTGACATGAGGCAGATCTGGTAACAGGAGGGGAAAACCCTGGAGAGGCGAGCGGGCCTGAGGCAGCTGCTGCTGGGGATTCCCAGTGACAGCGCAGCGCCGGTATGTGGGGGTCTGAGCGGCTCCCACAGAGAAATAATCTTTGAAGGCAGGATGGTAATCTGGATGAACTGACTGCACAGACCATGTTTTCAGGAGGACTTTCTCACTTCAACATAGATTCTAACTACTTTCTACCCGCTGATCACAGCTAATATAGCAAAGCTGCTCTCTGGCATCGAACACAGGAGCAGCAGAAGCATCTGGACTCACTTTCCTGGACGGCTGACCTTAATGTGGATCAGAGATGAAGCAGCAGAAGCTTCTTTGATGGCGTTCGGACTGAACGTAGCATCAGACTTTCTGATTGTTTGAACTAACCTATGAAACATAATATTGTAGCTAAAAATGATCTTATATCTTCCTTATGAAATTTCCACCTCTAGTTAACCTCACATCCTTCCCATATCAGGACTAAAGTTGGAACAAAGACATAAAGTTCGCAGCATTCCACCTCTAAAGGCAGGAAATACTGTTTCAGAGTCTAAATGTCAACACTTTGGAAGTGGACCCCCCTACGCTTTGCAAAGCCTAAAGCTGTGATGCACCAAGGTGTAATATTTCTAGCTAAAAGCCTGATGTTGCTAATCAGATTTTCTTGATTATTTCTTTCTTTTCCAGGACAGATCCAATAGTTGCTGTCAAAGAGCTCAATTTCAGGCTCCTAAAGTTTTGCAATGTATTTGTCTGCAATAGTACCTTAAACACCTACAGAGTATTTCATTTATTTAAAACCGAACATTAGAGATTCTTTAAGGTTTATTTCTTTACTTCTATTGTCAGTTCCAGCTGTTTTCTTCTGTTTTTATTGTAGCTGTGACCAAATGTTCATAGCAATCAGTTCTCTTCAGGTCATATTCTGACCTGTAAAGTAACGACAATATAACTAACACCTTTTCTAAATCCCTTTTATATCAAAGAAACAGGTTTTGCTCAGGTTTTTTGTAGTTAATTAAATAAGTGTGCTAAATACATAAGGGTATTTCTCTGCAGTGTGAGATAATGTTACAGCATTAAAAGATGGACTTCTTCAAAAGGGTTTAACAAGTAACTGTCGTCAATCTGTTAGCATCATTTAATTGTTGCAGTTTATATTAAAAAATAATCTAAACATTACACTAAATACTTCTTTTCGGGTGTTTTACACAGTTTGCATGATTAAAAAGATCATTAAAATGCTAGTGACATACTGCTTATCATACTAGAGCGGATGAAAAGTTTCTGTAGAGATTTTAAGCTCAGCTTCGGTCCTGCACGTTGTAATGAAAACCTTCTTAGATGAAGCTAAGCACATGATTCCCTTTCAAAGTCAGGCAGTCTCCTTCACACACAGATCCACACCAAAAGCTTGCTCCGCTCGCTCCTATAAGGGACCAAGTGAGCATGGTTTGATTTGCCCAGCAGCCAACACCTGATGACACACAGTTTGCCAAGAGTACATCAACGAACCCACGCCTAGAATGCCAAACACAAGATGGGACATGTAGCGCCACAGACAAGCAGAGTGACAGGTGGTTAGCGCTGACTGGTAGAGCGGCAGTAAGACTGAAACGTAGTCTGAGTCAATAGTAAAAAAAGTAGAGAGGAAAATGATTCTCCTTCGATGTAAACATAGCCGTAAGTATTAAAAAAGTATCCTGAAATAAAATTCCTTTACTTGAATATATTTGCAGAATCAGACTCTAAGCCGGAGGGCATCTCACACAATCTTTACTTTTGACTCATCAGTGATGCCTCTCTGTTGACCCCTTAGAGGAATGAAGTGATAACGCCATGGGTACATTAATGTCTGGTGATGTGGAGGGAATGCTGCGTGGACAGACTGGAGCGGGCAGGCTGGATGGGGAGATGGAAGCTGTGGGGGAAAAAAACGCACCTTTGACGTTGTGTTTTGGAACCGTGGAGTTGCTATGGGGTTGATATAGAAAACCTGTTTTGTTTGGGGCTGAGGAGGGTGGGGTTCCACCTTGGAGAGAGAGAATGATAGAACAGAGAGATACCGTTTGGTTGACAGTCAGTCTTCCCTGCCCCCTCAGGAGTGACTATGGAAGGATGGACAGGTGGGAATGATGATGAGAGAGTCTGGAGGGGAGTTGGCCTACAGCAAGTTCACTACATAGTCCTCCTTCACTGGCTGAAATTATGCCTATATGAACTTCTACAGACATACAATACAATGCATCATAGTCTACTTTACCCCATTGCAATGTTACAGCCACAAACTTTAATGCATTTAAATCATATTTAATTTGATAGACCAACAAAGTTTAATCTTATTGATGATGTGTGAGTCTGTTAAACCCTAATAATTCCTGCCTGTTAATGGCTGGTTATTCTCCCGCAGTTAGCTTGTTGCAGGTATGACGCAGATATTTTTGATTAGTGCCCAATTTTTAAGCGTGGTCTGCGCTCTGTCATTCCACGCCACATTACAAGAGGGACCATAATGAACTAGCCAGGATTGTGGGTCAGTTTGTAGTTAGTTAAAGTTAAATTCAAGACTTTTTAAGACTTTTAAATGCCACTTGACATAAAAATTTAAGACCAAATTCACAAGAAACACAATAAAAACTATTTTTCTTTGTATGGTTTTCTTAGTATGTTTGATTTGGTGATAAGTGGAGGCGTTGCAGAGACAAGGGTGGAACTAAACTGAGAAATACCGGCTGTTTCTCCGTAACTCCATTTAGACGCTTTGTGTTTCGTGCTTCGCATGTGCGACTCCACTGCCTTAATTCCCATCCTTCTGAGCTTGAATCGCTTCTTGCATAAATCCACTGAGCCTCATGGATGTTCGCTGGTTTTAACCATGGAGAAAACTCTTGGCTGGAGACAATTTTCATTACATTTACACTTGATCAGATTTTCCAAACAAAAAGTTAATGGTGCATCTCCCAAACGTCCCGGCCGCAACAACGCTTTATTGGTTCCGCTATCGGGACGGAACCAATAATGGTGAGTCATTTTTTTTTTTAATTTAGATTACAAAAATAAATCTAAATTAAAATAATTCTATTTATGATGTTTTAAAAATTAAAACATACGAAAGACTGATTTAAGACATTTTAATACCAATTAAGGCCTTAGTTTTATTTTGAAGAATTCAATGCCTTTTAAGACTTTTTAAGGACCCGCGGGAACCCTGGTCTACAACCCCTCATCCAACGGCGGGCGACGCACAGTTCTCCCGTGAGCGTTCCCAACAGACTGGCCGTGGCGCTGTGTGTTTTGGCGCCGGGTGAAAACCAACAGACCGTCGCACAGAGCGACAAACTAGCGTCCTGCACGGTATCTGGGAAAGTGTCCGAGGTGAGCCGGCCGCTGTGGGCGGAGCTACAGCCAGAGTTTCTGACATTAGGTACCAAACAGGAAATACGCATAGAGCGGATGTAGAACTGACCAATCAGAGGCCTCCTGTCTGCGGCACTGTCTGCGCTCACCTACAATTTTGGGTAGGTGCAGGAGAGTGTCTACGAAGGGGGTGGGAATATCTCCGTTAACTGCGACACACACAGACGACCTGGTTTCTGAGCATAAACCAGGCTTTACTTTTCAAAACTAAGGTTTTGCCAAGTAGTTTCCCTAATTAGGACAGTTCCTCAGTCCAGCTGTTAGCATCTTCATTCTGTACATGGCTAAGATTTGGGAATGGGAGGAGAGCGCTGTCCTTCATCTAAGAACATAGTATAATATTTTGATAAGGCGGGAGTCATGCATGTCTCCTCATCTGCAAACATTTTTGATGTAATGATGTGGCAGACTGGAGTTGTATAAAACGCTTCTCTAACTGTGATTCGGGAAAAATGTGGAAAAATCTCCCTCTGCTGCAACTAAGCTGTACCGGATATGAGCTAAAAGTCTGACTTAGCATTTTAGAAAATAAGATAAAAATTTCTGAATTTGAAAAAGCATCTATATCAGTACTTGGTCTGGCAAGGACTAAATTGTTAGTATTTGTAGTCGATCAAAAGAAATCTGGGTCTTTACCTCATTTAGACACCTTTGGATAACCTTGGAATCAGGTTCTACCCTAGAAAATGAAAAATTTCTGGTTCATTTCTTTTTCTATCGTCTGTAAAATAAAGCCAACTTTAACCCTGTTGTCTCATCCAGAAAAGGAAATTTTTTTTTGTTTCATCCCATCTTAATTTTTATAATATATTTTACATGTTGGAGTGAAACCCTCCTAGACTGGTTGCAGCCTTTGCAGAACGCTGATCTTTATCGTTCTGTCGTGTAATTCCATTTTTCAGCTACATGTTAAGATTTTGGTTCTGATTCTGCAAACATTGCATGGTCAGACGCTGAGCGTTTCCATCCTCATCAGGATCATCGGTACCTGCTGGTTACCCAATGCTAAAAACTGGAGCAGAGACACTTCGATCACAGACTCAGTGTCTTCAGTAAAAAACATCTTTTTAAATCTGCTTTTGCTTAAATATTGTTTTTTGTGTTTATTTTGTTGATTTGTTGAAGCACTTGGTGAGTTTTATCTTGAAAGTTGCTCTATAAATAAAGTTTGACTCACTTTCTATCCGGGGATTCAGATTAAAGAGGATTGAATACAAACAAACTTCACTTTGAAGATTTTTATCTCTTTAAAAATGTTAAGAAGTTTTCTTTACGCTCCTTTGAGTTGGTCTATCAGTGATGTTTATCAAAGTTTGCGGTTGTAACGTGACAAAAAATGGAAACCTTTCTTCTTTTTATGACGCTATATTTTACACTGAAAATAGTTTGCAATGATTTTAATGAGAAAACACAATTGTGAGTAAATTTTGCTCTTTGAATTCACTGCAATAACGGAAATAAGGCCTCAGGAACTGCAGACTGTCGAGCTCCTTGATCAAAGTTTAGAGTTTCTGTCTTTTCTGCATCTATTGACTTTCAGAAAAGATCAGAGTTTGAATCTCTAACAAGGAAAATATTTAAAAGACAATCATGCGTCAAACACCTCTCAGCCATAACATTATGACCACCTTCTTAAAATGATGTTAATCCCTTTACCCCCAAAAGGCGCTGATTATTAACCAAACACCGTGTTAATTTAGGATTTAAGTGTTTTTGCTTTTTAGTGATTAGTCTCCTTATTATTAAAGCCCTTTGGGCTCCTTGTCCTGCATCCTATATGATCAGCAGATGGCCGCTCACACTGAGCCTGGTTCTGCTGGAGGTTTCTTCCTGTTCAAAGGGAGTTTTTCCTCTCCACTGTCGCTACAAGCATGCTTAGTGTGAGGGATTGCTGAAGAGTCAATGAGTCGATGCAATCAGCTGGTTTTCCTTAGATAGAAAACTTTGAATCAATCTGACTGGATGATCTGGTGAACTGGAAAGTGACCTGAGATGACATGATGTGAATGAATTGGAGCTATAGAAATAAACTGAATAGAATCGAGTATTAAAATAAAGCATGCTGGGATTTCTATAACTTTATCTAATCACTATGTTATGGCTGTAAAATGTCAATAGTTAGAAGCTCAAACCGTTGAAAAATGAAAAAAAAAAAAGAAGATATTTACAGAAATGTGCAGAAGCTACACCAGACTAATCTAAAACACAGTCTTGCATGACTTCTCATAGGGAATGGAGGATGAAAAACGTTCCCAATCTCCAGGAAAATGAGGTTTATGAAGAACAGGAGTTGAAAACAAAATAAAATGAGAACCTCATTAGCATGTTTTTTTATTCTTCTCAGAAAGAAAGCCGCTCAGCTAACTGTTCCTTCATCTCCTGGCGGCTCTAAAATAAAGCTATATAAATCTCTGGGTTGATTACATGTGGTCATTATTTGATCTGTCTGTTTATCCCTCCACTCTGTCTGCTCACATGCGGTTCGATGACAGCTAACTCACCCGTACGAAGCTGGCAGGGAACCATCCTTCCTCTTCATCAATCTGGCCCCACCACCAGTCCTTGTTGGAGGCGTCCAGCACCTTAATGACGTCGCCGGCCTTAAAGGCCAGCTCCCGATCCGCCATGGTCACATGGTCCCATACTGCCTCTGCGTTGACGACCGAACCTCCACTTATCAACTGAAGGAGAAAGACAGGGGATCCGCTTTGTTTTATTCTGGATACATTAGGCTGTGCAAGAATAAAACAGGAGCAAACAGACACTCATCAATAAAAAAAAACCCTTTAAGGAGTCCATAAATCACATCTAAGAGAAGAGAGAAACCCTTTTATTGTCCCACAGAGGGGAAATTCTGGCGCTTACAGCAGCAAAAAATAAAAAAATTACAAATTAAAAACAATCCACTGGACTTTGTTTCCAAGTTTGAAGCTTTTTCAATTTGCTGAGTTATAAAATAAAGAAATAGCGTTGAGTTCCTGGCTTTATCCAGCAGCCCAACAAAGCCTGGTTTTTGTTTAGAAAAATGTAAATTGAAACAGACAACCCCCCCCCCCCCCCCCCCTTATAATGGGGGTCATTTGGCTTCTAACAGCAGCAAAAAGATTCTAGAAAAATGGCCACACAAATGTGGACCTTAGGAAAATGTCTAAGAATAACATAATAGTGAAGAGTTAAAAGATAAACAATAAAATAATACTGTAAAGTGTTTTAACAATATAAAACTGTAGAATAAATAACCAATTAGCAGCTATGGACATTTTTCCAGTAATTTGAAAATAGCAGCAACATCAGAGATGTGCAGAATGACAGCAGCAGGTTATTTAACTGACTGAGGTAGAAACTGAGCAGAATCAGCATGAATGGAAGAACTGGTTGAGGTTGTTGGGAACAGTGGTGGTTCTAGAGTCTTCCAGCTGCTGGGAGGAAGGATCTGTGATAACGCTCCCTGGTGCATTTAAGGTGCAGCAGTCTGTCACTGAAGGAGCTGTCCAGTTCAGCACCACCTTCATGCATGGGGGGGGGATCCGTCTGTTTCCCACCTCCTGCACTCCAGAGGGCATCCAATCACAGCTGGCCTTCCTGATCAGCTGATCCAGCCGCTTCCTCTCAGCTCCAGATGAGCCGCTGCTCCAACAGACACTTCAGAGAAGATGGCTGATGCCACAGCAGAGTCAGAGAAGGTCTTTAGGAGCCCCCCCCCCCCTCAGTCTCCTCAGCAGGAAGAGTATCTGACCTTTCTGACCCAGAGCCTCAGTGTTGGGAGTCCAGCCCAGTTTGTTCTTCAGGTGAACACCGAGGTACTTAGAAGAGTCCACTATCTCCATGTCTGTTCCCTGGATGTTCACCGGTGGCAGTGGGTGGATCTGCTTCTGCCAAAGTCCACCACTAGCTCCTTGGTTTTCCCTGCTTTAATCAGAAGGTGGTTCTGCTGTTCTGGGTTCACTGTCTGTCCTCTATGTTGAGGCCAACTATGGCAGAATCATCAGAGATCTTCTGGAGGCGGCAGCGTGGAGAGATGATGATGGAGAAGTCTGTTCCCTGTGGGACCCCCGTACTGCAGACCAACCTATCTGAGACGCAGCTCTGATGCTCATCAGTCCTACGCCTCATTCTGGCCTCAAACTGTGTAAACCTCTGTTTTTCTGTTAAACCACTTAGATTACTAATTGATGCATTATTGAAGGAGGAGCAAAGTGATAATACAGGGACTGCAATGCAAATGCACATCAAAGGCAGAACACTATCAATGGAGAACCAACACAGCGTTCAGAAGCAACATGTCTCTCTCTTTACATCGGCCATAAATGGCTCATTATCAAGTTAAAACAAAGAGTTCATGTAATATAACAAAACGATGTGAGGTGATAAACGTCCTGCATGCTTTCACCAGGGTGTGTTTGGTTATCTGCAAAACAATCCTCAACTAAACATGAGCCACTGACTCATCACATTCCTTGTATTGACTACTTCATCATGAATAAATAATGTGTACATCGTGTCGCACAATAAACAAACAGTTAAAGAGCAAAGCTGTGAGAAAACAGGAGCAGCATCATCCTTGTTCAGTCGCCTTATTAGACGTTCCTTATTATCTCACTTAACAACTAAGTTTAGTCTAGTTTTTGTGGGTTTATCTCGGGCCTGGTGATTCAAAGGGCTGAGCACAGGCTTGGGGAGGCGATACTTGGGTCATAATACGATATTGTCACGATATAGATATATATTGCAACTTTTTTTCCAGCTATCAAATTAAATGTATAGATATAAAAGGAAGTGCAGGTGATCTAGAAGATTGCTGTGCCAAGGTTAAGATGGTCTAACTGGTTTCGGTTCCACCCCATTAAAATTAGCAGATTCCGTTTTCTACCGTGAGTTAGAGAGTAAAAGAAAGATGAGGTACAAAGCCACGGACATGACGGTAAGAATTATAATTATTTCAAAGATATAACAATTATAATACTAAATAATATAATGCACCTCAGATAGGTAGGTAGATAGTGATGCCAAAAGAAACAACAACCAAGCAATAACCTTAACTTTGCTTTGTCCAAGTTAATGTTTTATTAAATCAAAGGAAGAGAAAGCACTGGAACAAACTTCCTACTTGTTGACCTGTAAGAGATGTGAACTTCCATCCTTCCCGTGTCTCTTTGCTCTGTTTATATTCCATCTTTTAAAGCTACAGTGTGTAATTTTCGGCGACATCTAGCGGTCAGACTGCAGACTGCAGCAACATGAGCGTCTCCCCCCCACCGCTTCTCCCCCCCAACAGTACGGCGAGCGTTAGGGGACAAAATGTCTTCCACGACGTCCGCATCACCTACCTTCTCAAGTGATGAGGTTTGTTTACATAGATCATTTTAATACTGCCATCTATTGTTCAGTACCGTCTCAGTTAATCTCTCTCAACTTGCCGTAGTTACTTTCGAGCGTCATGGGCGATCTCGCAATCGCTAGTTTGTTGGCTCTGCGCTGCCGTAGCGCAAAGATGTCTGCCTCCATGGCTGCGAGACCCGCTCCTATGTAATTATAAATAACGAATTCTAAGGCAACGCAAATATTAAGGTTAAGAGGCTGAGCTCGTAGATGATGATAAATAACATAGTTATGTATAATATATTACATTTCTGACTGTATATCCCTGTAATTATTACACACTGTAGCTTTAAAGAAACATGCCACCATATTAATGCCATATTTAATTCACTCATTTTCTTTATTTTGGTTTAACTGTATAAAGATTGTTTTCCATCCTGCTGCGTTATCTGTGTCCACATTCATAGATATTTATCATTTATTAATATAATTCTTCTATTTTTATTTCTGAGAGTCCAAATATGTTACCATGCTCACAGCATCTCTCTCCATCCTCTGGCTTTCTACCAGCGCCTCCTTTTTGGCCACAATCACTGCAGAAGTACTAAAAAAAGACCTAAAAACGGAGTTTCCTGATTGAAAAACCTCTTTGTTTATGGTAAATATTTACACTCACATATCTGCCACCCATGAATACGTCCAATTTGGTCATCGGAACATGATCTGCATTTAATACACTCGTGCAAATGAAGGTTTTTCTGCTGAAATGCAAACATAAATCCTTTTGCACCTCGTTGAAGATCAGCTATGAAAGCCATTCTTACTGCCTGTTTTAACCTAAAGGAAGCAAGAATATGGTTGCATGAACTGATTGATTCAGTGATGCATCTTTTAAAGAAATAATTCTAATGAACTGATTTCATCCCAATAACTTTCCTCTTGCATTATCTGAGGAAAGCCCAACTAATAATGGTCAGATTCTCGCCCATCAGCTGTGGATGTGGACAGTTCTTCTGTTGTTCTAGATGATAGATATAATAGCAGCACCTCCTGATCTGTTAGCATGTTTACAGGCTCTGACCTGTATGATCACATATTTGGTCTTCCTGTTGTTTGATCGACATCGCTCTGATAAATTCAGCTAAAACTGGGCATCGTTTTACGCAGCTGTGTGACCCGACGCTCTGATGCGATCTACCTGCTCACTGCTGGAGGTTCTGGTAAATGGGCTAATAATTATACTGTAATGGAACATTTAACCCTTAATTTCCCTGATCCAAATTTCAAGGCAAGAAAACCTCTTCTTTTTGTAACTTTGTATCGTCCACCAGGTCCTTACTCTGAATTTTTAGATGAGTTTTCAGAGTTCCTTTCTGATTTGGTATTAAATACTGACAGGGTCATCATAGTGGGAGATTTTAACATCCATGCTGACATTGAAGGCGATAGCTTAAGAGCAGCCTTTAATGCTATCTTAGACACTATTGGCTTTGTTCAAAATGTGAATAGTCCCACGCATTCTCATCTTCATACTTTGGATCTTGTGCTGATATACGGCATAGAATGTGAAGAAATAACAGTATTTCCTCACAACCCTGTCCTCTCTGACCACTTTCTAATAACCTTCAGGATTACTTTAACAGAGTTCTCCTCCCCCAAAAGAAGGTTACATTTTAGTAGATCTTTATCAGATAGAGCAGTTATACATTTTAAAGAATCTGCTTCACTTTCTCTCTCCTCTGTGTCACTGAGCAGTGCTGCAGAGTGCAAAAGCTTAGCTTATTCCCCTTCACAGGTTGATGATGTTGTTGATGGGGTTGCTAGTTCTCTGCGTATTGCCTTAGACAACGCAGCTCCTTTGAAAATGAAAACCGTTAAAAATAGAAAGCTTGCTCCTTGGTTTAATGCAGAGCTGCGTACTTTGAAGCAAAATGCTAGGAAACTGGAGAGAAAATATCGCTCCACAGGCCTGCGGGAGTCCTTCCTAGTCTGGAAAAATGGTTTACTGCTGTATAAGAGGACCCTTTGTAAAGCAAGAGCAGCATACTTCTCCTCATTAATAGAGGAGAATAAGAATAATCCTAGATTTCTTTTTAATACAGTTGCCAAACTCACCCAGAGCCATAGCTCTGTTGAACCGTCCATTCCACCTGCTCTTAGCAGCAATGATTTTATGGGATTCTTTATAAATAAGATTGATCTTATTAAAAATAAGATCATAAGCACTCCTCTATCCGCGATTGTACCTGAGGTAGTCATGGAATCTGAACCGGGTTTAGACTGCTTTGATCCAGTTGAACTCTCTGAATTAGCAAAATTATTGTCTTCATCTAAGCCTTCAACTTGTATGTTAGATCCAGTT